TTATATAAATTATATATATATATATGTACATAATGTTGTATCCTTGTATCTACAATATCTTACAAAAAATTAAGGTTCGCGTTTCACAGTTATATTTTACTAATGTTATATCGTGATTTTTACAAAGGTATTTTTATCGATGATAACACACACAGTTTTATTGAACTCACGTTACTTCGCGTATCTAGCAACTCGTGCGTTATGTTTACTCGAATGACTCGTGTCGGATGACAGTAGATAATACGACTCTGCCCGCCTTCATCGTAGCACTATATAGCGCTCGATCTGCTGACTGCAAATCGCACTTTGCTGAGCTGATTAAGCTATTTCCGGTGATCGTTTTATCCAAATGCGATCGATGCTGATCGATTGCATTTGGCAATTTCCGAATCTGTTACAATACACGGAATCGGTCGCAACAAACAATAAAATCATCACGTTTTTTCGTTGCATTCTAATTTCCCAATCGTTCTTAATATGAACTTAATATTTCCGTATAGAATGCATTTTCCCGGTAGCGGAAGATTGATTTTCAAATCTTTTAGGCAATTGTTGGGTCATTACTTTGCAGTTGTCAGGCGATCTATTTTACATGGAATTTTAATTAATTATTCAATTAAACTATTCATTATTTGGTTATAGATACCGACTATAACAATAATTTTATATAAATTATATAATATATATTATATAAAGTATTATGTATGATAATATAATTAACATTAAAATATTTGAAACATACAGCAAATAATAGATATTCGTTGTAGATAAAATATAATGTTAAAATTTATTTAAGTTCTCACTATATATAAATACTGTAATACAGTGTTTTGCAAGATTAGTACATGAGATCATTTTTTATTATATGTTATAAATATTTATTCTTTCAAGCGCTTTGCAAAATCGAATAACAAAATAGTGATGAAATATTTAAAAAAACTTTTTTATTATTTTATAATATTGTAGACATGGAAAACTATGAACTTTTCTATTTAATATTTTTTCAATATCTCTTTACACAATTTCAGAGATATTAATAGGAATATAAAAAATCAGATCTTTAATGTGTTTCCATCCTTAATGTTTATTGGACAAAACAAAAAATTATTAGTTTCATATATATTTTATTTCTACAAAGTTTTAGATTTTTAAAAATTTTTGAGTTCCTTGTTAGTGATATTTTAAAAAGTTTTCGATTAGCTATATGTAAAAAATATATGAGTATTGATGTTTTTTATTCTGTAAATTTTAACATCTCTATAGGCCTAATAGAAACGTCAAGATGGATATAATGCTTAATACATGCACTATCTGCATGTATTTCGTAGCAACTGCGCGGTCGCATCTGCCGACGTAGTCGTTAATGCCGGATTATGCAGATCTGAGTTTAATTATATGCTCGCAAAATGATGGATTTTCCAGTGAATGCTCATTACACGTTTGCCATCATCGTTGATCGATATCATTGGTGAGCCAATAATGTAATCTAATAATATCATCGGTACGAATTAATCAGGTCTCGAATTATTGCCGATCATTATCGTCAAATCAAATCTTTTAAAAGGTAATTTCCTCGTCTTCTTTTCAACAGCTTTCAAGCAATAAAAACTTCATAGTCTTGTCATTTTATTCAGGATTTAATTTAACAGGATTTAACTTTGATAAATAAAAAAAATTTTTTTAATTTCACATAATTGACTTTCTATCAAGTGTATTGTGTCACCTTTAGGAATTAATGAAAATAAAAACATAAATAAAATTTTGATTTAATTGTTAAAATCTGATGCATATTGTTAGGTATTCTTTTATAACAAATAAATAAAAAATGTCATAAAATTGGAATATTAATGACGAGGCTATAATATAATCACGTTGAATAATAATATTGAATTTATCTTCTAATGTCGATATAAATATTTTATACTTTTATTTATTAAAGAATTTATGTTATGCATTTTGAGATATTTGACATGGAAAGAATGTAAATGCGAATTGTTTTTTTTTTATAATGGCGGACCCATTAAAATGGAAAAATTTCGAAAGGGACTATGCTTCTGTGAAATTCAACGGAATTTAATTTCGTGCACGGCTTGCGGGAATTAACATTCGTTCTGTTTATTGCTTCGTATCAAGCCGTTCCGATCGGATTTTATATTGTCGTGGCATGGTTCTCGGTTGTTAATCGTCACCCTCGCAATTGAACGGCGTATTTTGAAAAATGTACCACGCTGTTTTCGAAAATTGAAAGTCTTTGATCTTTCATTATCGCTTCAATATCAATTTTTTAAAAATTTTTTATAGAAAGATTTCAAGAGGAAATTAGCTTAAAATTTATGAAAGAATGGAAAAAAATTATTTTACTGAGGTATCTAAAAATTTATCTAGATATAGATCAAAAATAATTACGGACCATTTAAATAATTATATTCGACACTCAAATTTGTTAGAATGTCAAAACTTTTGCATCATCATGTTTGAGCGCGCTACATAATTTTTTTAGATCTATATCTAGATCTAACCTTTTATATCTAGATCTATATCTAGATCTAGATCTAAACTTTTAGATACCTCAAAACAATTCCATATATTTATTTTTTTATTTCTATTTAATATAATTTTTATAATAATAATGAAAATAAACCAACAAATGTTTAACACAAATAGGCAAAGAAAGTCATGTTTGGTCAAAATGAATACCTAATAATATTTTTATATGAATCTTAACAATTTCCAATTTAAACAAATTGCGCATCGATTATTTATTAATCTTGAAACATAGTCTTGTAAACTGAAGCTGGAGTACGTAATATCACAAATTAAATTAACAAGGATTTAATAATATTTAATTTTTGTTTTTACATGTTTCAACAAAGAGTTCTTAAGAGTAATAAGAAATAATTGGACTTTTATAATTGTATATAAAAAATAAAATTAATAAAAATAAATTCCAAAGGCTAATTTGGAGTCGCGATAAGAAGTGCGCAAAAAAGTCATTCTTTCTATGCATTGATAAAATGTTTATTAACTTATTTTGTGGCATCGTATATATACGCATGGATTTGCCCTACAAAGACGTCATCTCATTAGTCAAAAGACATATCTAACGATCGAAGAAACAATATATCGGAGAAAGTTGCGAACTTAAATTGCCGTAGTATACTTAAGTTGCGAACTTAAATTGCCGTAATATTGCTATAGTTTTACAAAGTTTCGGGATGACGGGAAGTGCATGGTCAGACACGAGTGCAACTGGTTTGCACTTACTTACTACTGGCTGGTAGCAGCCAGTAGTAGGTGTCAGCGAATGGACGATCGGTTGAACAACGTGTGAGTGTGCTTTCGACAGCTCTGACAGTTTATTAGTGGTATCGAGACCATAACTAGGATGTAGCGCAGTTAGCAATTGCCACGAAACTTTGAACGTCGATTTCTAACAGTTTGCTTCTCTTAACGTTACCATAAGACAGCTCGCGTGCCTCAACCATCCTGTTGAATCTATCAACATTTAAGAAATCAGGCTTGTTAGTTGTGAAATCGAGTTAACGGAGATTATTTAATTTCTTCGATAGACATCCGAGATTTATCGATAAAGAATAAACTTAATTTTAAATAAAATTTATTTTTTATTATACCATACCACTAATAAATCTCAGATTTCAAGACTAAAAAAAACTTTGACGCGCGGTTTGCAAAATTGCATAATTATATATACATGTAAATTCATACCGAAATATGTAAGCACTAGAAAGATCCGCTTTGATTGATAATAAGATTTCTTTTACTAATTTCTTTTACTTAGATTTATTCTCATCGGTTCAATTTAGCATTATAACTGTTTATTCTCAAAATTTTTCAAAAAGGTAACTCGAAAGGTTCATAAAAATTCCATTTTTAAGCATTAATTAATTTTCTTATGCATTAGTAAATTACATAGATATCTAAAAAAAATATATGATATTCATTTGAAACTTCTTTTTTATTTGCTTTTAGTTTTATTCTGTCATGTCTAATCAATTGTGAGATATGCCTAACTATTTTAATTTTTTCAACTCAACCTCATAACATTTTAACGGGGAGCTTTAGAAAGTTGGAAAACTACATAGCGTATTTATTCACTATAAGCTACTTCAGACACAGCTATTTTGTTAAATGATTTTTAGGGCCAATTTTATCATACTTGTTCTACTAGACCCTTTATTTTTTCCAATTTGTACTGTTGCTCATTTTTCGTCTTTAGAAACTATTTAGTCTATATAAAGAATCAACAGCATTAATTAATAGCAATCTAAAAATAATCTTGTTAATTTTTAATAACAGTATTAATGAAACAAATAACATTTTATTAAAACAAGAGCATATATATTAATACAACATCTAGGGTGACCAGACATCCGGTTTTTCCCGAACATGTACTCTTTTTTAAAGCGTCTGGGAACGTCCGGCCGGGTTTTCAGCGTGTCCGGGATGTACTCTTTTTGGTATTCATTTTGAGAGAGAGCGAGGGGACCGGAAGTTATCACACATGAACTACATAGTAAGCTAATCACTAGATCATTACTGTATCTGTGATAAAATATTTGAAAACTATTAGGTATTATTGTATTATTATATTAAAGCTGTTTTTTGCAAATACTAAACACATGTTTTTATCATTCTTAGGATTTTAAATGTACTCTTTTTCTCCTACTTTTAAATTTAAATATACTACTTGTTCTGTACTACAATTTAACCTAAAATGTCCTGTTTTTTGTTCTACTTTTAAGGCTTAATGTCCTACCTTTGTATTATTTTTTAATCAGGAATGTCTTAGTTTACCTAGATTAGATCTGGTCACCCTAACATCATTTTTCCCTTACATTCGCGAGAAATTCTTTTGTGATCATTATCACTGATAACAGAAGTGTAAGGAAATTGGTATACTTTTGACGAAAGTATCCAGACAATTTTCAAAAATACGAATATCGCGATCTTGTTTTTAATCGAAGCACGTGTGTTCTCAGTCGTTGACAAGGCAGCGTCCTCGCGAGCGCTCACAATCACGTCCGGAATCACGCAGCTTTCCACCGAGCACGATCGCATATCTGTCGAGGACAGATCCCGAGGACAGGCCTGACAGCGGCCAGGACGAAGACGAGTCCTTCTTTGAGAGGCCCCCGCCGCCACCACCGCCCCTTCCGCTTCCGCCGTCATCTCAACAATCGCAGACGCAAATCGATCAGACTGCCAGTGGACTGGTCAAGGATGAAGAGGTCGGCGTTAAAATAATAAATATTCTCGACACTACGCAGGATCGCGAGGGGATTAATACCGAAGAGTTAGTTGGGTAGGTCTTATGAGATTAAGGAATTCTGCAATATATCAGATATTTAAAAACGTCGTAATTTAAGAGTCGGTAGTGACGGACTAATTACATCTACATCTCATTCACACAGATACACACATCTGTATTTTATTATATTTTGCCTCGTAAAAGAAATATCCTAAAAAACCTTTTTAAAAAAAGAAAAAATATACGTCAAGTGCATAAAAAAGGTATCGAATATTACATTCTTCTTCTCAAAAACAGATATGAAATAAATGCTATTAGCCAAGTATTTCATCATGCAGGGCACATAAGATAGACTGAAAGTATAATTATTTTTTATTTTTATATATTATTAATCTAATATTCAATAAATATAAATTATTATTATTATCTCTTCATTTTTTTAATTAAATTTCATATTACTTCATTAAAAAAGATTTACAAAAAGCAGTGAAATTCCTAAAAAAAAAATCTTAAAAAAAAGAAAAAAATTTTTTCGTAACATCTCGAATTTGACAGCAGCACGAACATATACGCAATGACGTTCACGCGTTAAGCGGTCAAGTGGTTCGTTTTATATTTTTATGCACTTGGCGTCGCTCGACTTTGTTATAGGACTCTTTTAACTTCTTTTTTTTACGAAGATTTAAAAATTTCTATCAAGTTGGAGTATGCAATTTGGCTTTTAAAACTATTATAATAAATAAAATTATTTGTTCTTTACTCGCGATATTACAGATCGAATTACTATATTTTCTCGTAAAAATAATATTGTATCATGAGACTTCTTATTTTTATAAAAAATTACGAAGATTTGTGTATTTTCTACCCTAAAAATTCTATAATCTTTTAGAAATTTTTTAGAGAGAAATTAGAGTTGTTAGATTTTTTAATTTTTGGATAGTAAGACATTAAATAAATTAATTTTCTTTGTGTAGGTTTGCACAGCAAAAGGATGACAGGACGACGGTCGACGGACAAGTCAGGCGACCCCGTTCGATCACGAGGGACCACTATATTTCCAGGTGAGAGATTGTTTCCTTCTTCTCCTTCTTCTTTTTTTGTTATTATAGGCACTGCCTGTTTTTTTTCACGCGTCGTATTCTGGATTCTCTATTAACAATGACTTCCAGCTCTCGGCCCTTTTCTTCGGCGGTCCTCCAGGGGGCCATTTGTTTATCAATTTCTTGCTATCTTTATTAAACGTGTGTCATCAACCACCTCGATATAATTCCATTCCCTTCTCCGATCTCTGATGAATTTAACAATGTCTAATATTCCGCATTTTTCTTTAACTCTTTATTTCTTATTCTGTCCTTTTGGTCTTTCTGATTATTATTCGAATACTTATTTCTGTGATGTGGCTGAATTGCTTTGTCTCGGTGCGTGTTTCTCCGAGTGTTAATATTCGTTCGACAATTGTCTTATACACTCGAATCTTACTTTCTGTTGTTACGTATTGATTCTTCCATACCGTATCCTTTAGTGCTTCTGATACCTTACTCCCTTGAGTGTTTGCTGCCTGCCGTCCTCTTAGGTTTCGACTGTTAGGAACACCTACGTAGTTAAAGCACATTGTGTTGTTCAATCATGTTTCTTTTGACCTCCAGCTTGTAACATTGTGGTTTCTTATCATGGATTTGATTTTAGATGTGGATATTTTTATATTGTATTTCTTCGCAATGTTCACGAGAGTGTGTAGCATGTGTTGCAGATCATCTTCCTCTTCAGCTATGAAAATAGCATCATCAGTGTAGCATAACATGTTATCAGTAATTTGTTCCCCCATTCAATATCCGGGAAAAGTGATGTCTTCTATGATCTTTTAATTATCTGATTTTTGCTCAGACATAGCTCGTCAGTTTATCGGTTCGGGTGCAAAAGAGGTTCGTGCGGACAAAGGATTGCGCAAGATGCTGAGATAAACGAACAATAAAGCTCGAGAATTTCCACGACGTCTAATAGACTGACCCGATTGAAAGCTTTTGTCTACAAAGCATAGATAGGCTGGTCTTGACTATTCGATTGCTTTTTCGACTATTTGACGCACAAAAAATATTGCATTTATTGTGGATCTATTCTACCTAAATCCTTGTTTTTTATTGTCCCTTGCTTATATCGATCTTTGGTCTTATAGAATAGCTCTAATAGAATTGTGCTGAGTAGATTCTGGACTGAACTCAACAGCATCATACTTCAATAGTTACCGAGATTTGGCATAGTATCTTTTTTAAAAATTGGGATCGTAAGACTAGTCTTCCATTTTTCCGAAATAGATTCATGTTGTTATTATTACATTGAAATATATCCTATTTCTTCTGTCAGTATTATATCGCTATATTTCAAAAATTCATTATAGATGTTATCAATGCCTGATGCTTTTTTATTCTTTAATCTTTTGATAGCCTGTATCAGCTGCCCTATGTCCCAGGTTGTAGGAGATATCCTCTCCCCCTTATTTCTGATATGGACTTTGCGTAATATCATTATCTTTATAAAGATCTTTGAAGTAAGCTATAATCATTCTTCTTTATTTATAGGGGTTATCTATACCATGTCTTTTACATCTGCTCTTCTGTTCTTGAGCATTTTCCATACCTTTTTTGGAGCAATACCTTTTTTTCTATACTTCTTTTCACATTTCCGTAAATTGCTGTAAATATTAATCCTTTAACCTTCTTATTTCTACATATATTTCATTTCATACTCGTACATATTTCTTCCGCTCTTCTCGACTTCTGATTCTTAAGTAAATATGCTTCTTTTTTTCTCTTGGCGATTTCTTTTACTTCAATAAACCAGGTATAGCGTTCCTCCGTTTCAGTAACGCTGTACTCTTCTTTTCCCGATTCCCTTCGCGAGCGACATTCATTATATTATCTTTGATTTTTCCACGCTGTGTCTACATCGTCATCTTTTTCTGTTTAATTTTCTTTCACTTTTTCTTTCAGTCTTCTACAATACAGCTCTCGTGTGGATTCATCTGCAAGAGATTCTGTGTTAAATTTCTCGATGTACTTTGGGAAGTAGTTTGGTTTTAATATAATAATCATCCGTACTTAGTGAAGAATCAGTCTACGATCACTATCGGTGAAATTGAGTGATCTAACATCCAATATTGGCGCAACCAGTTATTGCCATAGTCGATGATAGACTTCCTACCCTGAGAATTCTCGAATGTATATTTATGTTGTAGTTTATGGAAAAATGTGTTATTGATTCGCAATTTAGATACCAGTAAGTCTATCAGTAAGTTGCCGTTATCGTGCGCATGTTACGAAGTTCCTTATTAAATTTTTGCTTTACTTCTGGCACAGCATCACTGCCGATATGTGCGTTCAGATCGCCTAATATAACAACGTTGCACTTATTAGGTATTAGATTTAGTTGGCCTTCATAGAACGACATTCTTTCTTCCCTGGTTTTGATGATGTCGAGAGCGTAGACATTAAAAATGTGCAGCGGTTTACTCTGTACATCAAGTCTGACTTGATTTCTGGCAAATTCTTGGACTTACGTTACCTCATCTATGAGCGGCTGCAGATGCTTTCGTAGAAGCATCCCAACCTCTGTTGTTGCTATTTATTTTTTTTTCTTTTCCACTATATATATAAAGGTAAAGTTATTCATTATTAGTCTTTTTCCTTTTCTGTTAGTTTTTGAGAGACAGCAGATGTCTATGTTATTTTCTTTGATTTCCATAATAATTTCTTGATCATTCGCGTCCAAAATCTTACGTTCCATGCGACGAGTCTAATAATATTGGCTTAAGTCGTTTTTTTTCTTCTACTAGGTCTTTTCCTTTATAGACAGTTCCGAGATTATGCGTGATTCTCTTTGATTTTATCTCTGATAGGTTGCTAGCCTCATTTGAGATAGATTATTTATCAGCTTCGTCTAGTCTAGATCCGCTGTATTTTGTTAATCAGGGACACTTCGAAAAGGATATGACTCTTCACCATATACGGTGCAGTGCATTAATTCGCTAGGTCATAGTAGCGACTTATCAACGTTTATTTTTTACTCAAATACTATCAACTTTACAGAAAAACTGCGAGAGACAAAAATCATTTATTTTCTTCTGATAAAAAAATCATTTATTTTCTTCTCTGAGAATTTTTTCAGAATTTTTTATCAAGTTTTTAGTACTGCATTTTTTTATTTTCGATAAGTTGAACCGCTATTATGACCCAACGAATTAATGCACTGCACTGTACAACGATCTTGAATAGAGAGAAGCAAGAGCCATTAGACACTATCTTACGTTACATCTCTTGAGATTCCGTATTCTCCAGATGAGAGTTCCTTTCTCTAATTCTTAATTAAGTTCTCCGATGGAAAATTAAATATAATTATCTTTAAAGTATTAGTTAAGTCATCAAACTATATATCAAATTTTAATAAGTTAAAATTAACTCTAGAACATACACACAGATCTTCCATATCCAATTGAAATTTCGCTTATTACTTCATATACAAAGAAAAGAAAAGAGAAAGTTTTGTTTTACATCTTAAAATATAAAACTTATGGTATTACGACGTACAGTATATTACAGCTATATTCCTAAATCTCAGAGCTTCAAAATAAAAAAGAGAGTATAAGTATTAATTTGAACTGAAGTTATAGCTAATAAAAAATCAAAGTTATAATGGGTCTTCTAGATGTATTTTCTAGAATTGGTGTGTTTTCAGAATTTTTCGGAAGGTATTCTAGAGTTAATTACAGCTTCAAAAGCTCATAAATAGCATTTTAACAATTAATGGTTCAAAACAACAAATTATATTTTCTAATGACTATTTAACAAATCGAAAATAATATTTCTCTAAGTGTCATGGAGATAACAAGATCAATTACATATAAATTAAATGAAAAGCAAGATCCTATTGTGTACACTGTTAGAAATTTCTGTGAAATCACAACAAAAGTAAAAGTTTTTATCCATGAAGAATAGAGACCAGAAGACAAAGGCTATTAAAAATGTGACCAAAATCAGGTTTCTGAATTAGTATTGGTGGTGCTCGATAGGCAGCGTTCGAATCACAAACTCTAGAATTCCTCCAGTAAGAGTTAAGACATAAGAGCGGAAGGACGCCGGATATCGGATATTAGCCGGAAACAGCACAATTCCATCATGGTTGATGGTTGATAGTCCGATTTCGCGTTCGCACCTTCTACACCATGAAACAGTTGCTCACACAATTCATTATCACATCGAAAGTATCTGCAAATGGCAGCGTTTAAAGGGATTCGAAATTTGATCAATCAGGAGAACGGTGCCCCTCATAACTTGAGAGACTCCTTTCATATATGCTTACACACATACACACACATAATCACACACAATAATCAAAGAATCGAGATGTTATTTTTTAACATCATGCTTTGACAGTAACAAGAAGACACACACACACACACACACACACACACACACACACACACACACACACACACACACACACACACACATACACGTTTAATTAATAATAATATAATCACATTCGCAGACGGATATATCCTAATAACTACTTTAAATTTTTAACTTTATAATACTAGTTACACGTAATATTAGTTACACATAATGTAACTCGAACATTTTTAATATATCATTATTTCATGTAGAACATTATAATAATGTAGTAGTATGATTTAACAAGAACAAATAATTATAATCATTTTATGCACACTTTTCGTCAAAAGTTTTGCCTATAGCTAACCATAATTTTTTTAATTTTTGGGTCGATATTTTTTTTGTTTGTACCAGAAGTTTACTTATTGCAGAATTGATGTCGGAAAAAACTGTAAAAAATTAATAGTTATATTAATATATTTGATAATTTAATTATTTATATATATATTTATAATTTAATTATAATGTATTAACTTATAACAAGTAATAACTGCATATAAAATAAAATAAGAAATTATTTTATTTTTGTATGAATTCTAAAGTCTTTTCAATTCCGGGATTATAGCATATCTCATAAACATAGTAGGATAGAAATGACAACTGTATTCTTTGCAACACACATTTTGATTACATAACAAATTCCTGGTATATTGCTATAATGCAGGTGGCATCTTCATCAATCAAAACAAATAAAAAAATAAAATTCTAATCAAAATAATATATAATATAAAAGCGTTTGTTTAATTTAAATAATTTAAACTGTATCTCTATATCGGAAAAAGTTTATTTAATTTAAATAATTTAAACTGTGTATCTCTATACCGAAAAGAGTCGAAAGTGTGCTATGTTTAATAGCACTGTCATTTTGTCAGAACCTTATAAACTGTGATTTCACTGCTTTGTTTCTAACAAAACATATATATTAACTCATCAAACGAGAATGGATTAAAATGGATTAAAATTTTTTTAATGTGTACTTTAAATCCATAAAAATGGATTGAATGGATTGAAATGGATCCGAATTAACACTAGTTTAATATTTGAAAAAAAAAACATTCATATTTAAGAGTTACAAATTTTATTCCTAAGATATTTATAATAATTATACCTGAAATTAACTACTTCAAATTGATATTAAAAAACGCACCTTAGTGGGATTCGAATCTGGGACTTTTGGATTATGAGTCTATATGTTATCTACTACACTACTTCTTCAATTGTATAAATGTGTTATTCATTCTTTACTTCAATTACATCCAGCTAAATCAGTGCACAAAATTATATAGATATAATAAAAATATCATAATTTAACAGATATAATAAAATATACATAATTTACATTACTATGAGACAACATTACGTATCGGATAATCTAATCTCGCTCCGTGATTAGTCTAATATTCGGGCTGTGTTCGACTTGGTTTATGAGTGTTCACATTCATTTTTACTTCTAATCAAAGAGAAACAAAAGAACATAGCTCAATTATTTTTACATTACAACTTTTTTGAACTTAGTTGGATTAAAACGAAAAATTTCCTACTTATAATTTTAAATAATTTAAGTAGCATTTATAATCCATTTTTAAATAAACATTTTTTTTTATTCAATTAGATTGAAAAACTACATTTCATATTCAGAATATTGAATTGAATAATATTCACGTTGCACAGAAATTGCTGATATTATTTTTTAATTTAACTGAATTAAAAAACCTTCTATTCACAATTCTGAATTGAATAATATTCACGATGCACAGAAAATGCTAATATTATTTTTAGATTGAAAGGCATAGAGATATGCAATTTCTATAAAAGAATAAAAATGCAATCAGAATTGAAAAGGCATAGACATTTGCAATTCCTATAAATGAATAAAAATGGATTGAAAAGGATTCATTTTAACATTCATGAATCCGTATTTCTGAAAATCTGAATCTATTTTAATCTATTTCAATTTATTTTCGTTTGCTGGCAATTTCTATAAATTTTATTACGTAGTTTTCCTTTTGTGTATTTGAATAAATACACGTTTTCCATTATTTATGTTAATTATGATTATAATTTAATATTTGCTTGTTGTAAAATCGACAAGCACGTACCGCCTATATATTTTTTGACCGATTAATCACTATTAATCATTGTTATAAAAATTATTATTAATCTTAATTGTTATAAAAATTTTGTAATATATAATAAACACATATTTTTTTAAAGTAAAGATTTGGTAACAGGAGCGTTGTCGTCATTGTTTTTGCCTTTAATTCTTTACACTATTATACACAGATGCCTACGCCAAACAATGTCAAATCGGTGATCGATATAATACGAGCGGAGCCCTATGTTATCTTTGTTCTAAGAGAGAACGTTTTAAGTGATATCTTCTTTTTCTAACCTGTACTCAGCTATAGGCTGTGATCAAAGTCTCGCAAATGCTTTGATGGATCAATTAGAAGAAAGAATAGAAGAAGGAATTTTACAAACTGAATTTTACAAACAGTTAAAAAATACTTCAAAGCGTTTGCAGTATCGCATTGACCGTACCCATAATTGCGCACGTGCAGTAGACGGTATTGCACATGCGCAATCATAGCTAAGTATAGGTTAGAAAAGAATAAAAATACTACTTGAAACACTCTTTGTCGGATCGCGAAATAGCGCCAGCACTCATTCCAATTATATTTCAGTGTCAGTATGTGGCAATTACCGTAGCGTTTTTTCTGTGCAAAAGTTGTCAGGATAAGAAAAAGCTTATATTTACACTTATAGTAACATGCTTCGGCTATAGTTACAATAATAATTTATTGTATTCGTCGTGAGATACACAGAAACTGTCACACGTGGTATGACTTAATGACGAAATGAGCTGACTATAGGCGACCACACGGATAATAGAAATAATGGCGATTGGTAGCGAAATCCATAGGTCCAGTCGGCTCGCGACTTCAAGATATGCGCAAATCTCTAATGCGCATTCACGGTGTGCCAGTTTTATAAAATAGCAAATATCTATTTTGTTCAAATTATAAATTTCACGGAACGTTTCGACTTCACTTAGTCCTCATCAGCTATGAATAAAAATTATAACTCAATACTATAAAAAAACCTCGAAAATTAAAATTAACGCATAATAAAATTAGCGCTCGAATTTGTCATATCTTGAATACCATCTCATCTCCAAATAAACGCATAGAGTAACAACCTTATTCTATTAAGTCAAACATAAGATGATGTAATAATATCATGAATCTAAATGTAAAAGCACTATTTCTTCGTTTAATGGCGAGAAAGAGCAATCCGAGTATTTAAAACAGAGAGAATCTCATTGTCAGTCGAAAGTTATGATGTTTAAGCGTAAAAATTTTTTGGAGTTATGTAGAAAATGATGATGTGTAGTGTCCAAATAATTAATAAATTTAGTAGAATAATTGTGAAGATGAAATGTGTGAAACATATGCATGTACATTTTTCTAAAGAACTTATGTATATAAAGATAATGTAGATGTAATATAAATTAAAATCAAATCCATATTAATATCACTGTTAATATGATATGAAAACATCTCTTACTTGTGACAATGGTAAAATTCGAATGATGCCACATATGTATATAATGTCAGACGAACAAAGATTCAATTAAATTTTATCTATGTTTTTATTAGAATATTTCTGACTGCCCTTTCTTGCCATTAAACGAAGAAATGATTGATGAAGAAGCTAATGCGTACAACTGATTACCTAACGATGATACGATGACTCTGTACGGGCAATCAGGTTTGTGTATCTTCGGCAGTGCATAGACTCTCGACAATGACCCATCGCTACATAAGAAGTGTCTATATTGAGTCTATAATAACTGATCATTAATTATTTTTTGATATCATAGCAAATATCTATTATAAATTTATAAATATTTTGAAATCGCAACAAAACATAACATGATTTGTAATCTACTGCACATTGTAGAGGTATTGTAAATTCACAAATATTTTTAACAGTATACAAGTATCGAAAATTTACTGAATTTATAGTTAAAGTGTTGTGAAATCGCAAACATTTCTAAGAGTGTATCTTTAAGTTTCAAATTTTTAAGAGTTTGTTTACCTCTGAATTCTCAAAATCCAAGAGCTATTGACATTTGGACATTGCAAAGGCTACACACGATTTGGATGATCACAAAACGTTTCATACTCAAACCAAAGCAATTTGCAAAGTAGATTTGTCATTGACCAACAAACGCGCAAACATGTACAACAAGAAAGAGATTACAGAAAAACAAGTTGGAGCAGGTCGAAGTACGATGCGCCTCCGGCGGAGGGTACAAGGGTGCCACAAGAGGAGGGGGTGACTCTTCGCAGCCGGGAGATAGCCGGGGCCACGAGGATCTCCCGTAGCACGATCGATCGTGTCTTTGACAACAGTAATCGGCGACGATACGGGATGGGCATTGTCGGTCGCTTCTTTGGGTACATTTATATTTCATTCCTTATTGCGAAGTCTGAAATAAATTAAACTCTTGTGAGAGCTACACTATCTTAATTGAAAACTAATTAACTGACTGTATAAGACTATAAAATGTAAAGCGTTCCAAGAAAAAGTGAAATCCATTAGTTTTTATAAGTATACACTTTAGACAGAATATTAGTAAAATATATTAGTAAAATAAATTTTATTAATTAATCTATTATATCTTTTCCTCTAAATTAAATTATGTCATTATTATAATTTTTTTATACATCTAGAAAAAAAAACAGTAGTAGCAATTATATAAATGATAGCTATACAAGTTTTGTGTAGAATTAAGTATATAATTGAATAAACTATGTATTTTATAATTATTGTAATTAAAACTATGAATAAGTTACGAAAACTTATGCTCCTTATAAAATAGTTTATTCAATTTTTTTTTGTATTTTAATTCTACGTATAAAATTTATGTAATTGTGACTTATATAAATATCATATAAAAACCGCTTTTTTCTTCTCTGAGTGTTACTTTACAATATAATAAAAAAATATTGTAATTATAAAATATCATATCATTACTATGCAAAAAATGATTAATCGAATTAACGTCAATTCAACCAATCAATTCATAATAAAATTTGTAAGTGGTATAAATATTGCATATTACGGATATCGTTATTGTAGAGAAAATGTTTTGTCCATTAACTCGAGATCATAGCAAACGAAACATATTAAAAGCTTCGTGAGTTATTAAATTTTTTTTTTATTATTCCAGGCGATCTTTTCGGAAAAGCGTTGCGCACAAACCGGACATAAAGAAGCAGTTAGACAATTTCGAGGATCATCGACCGTATTTCACGTACTGGATCACTACTGTGCAAGTATTGATTCTGATAATATCACTGGCGTGTTACGGATTTGGTCCTGTCGGGATGGATCTCAATCATCGATCTGGATTGGTGAGCTAATAGAATTGATCACAATTATTTACGATTATTATTCATTTCTTTAAAACTTTATTTTCATTACGTTTATTAAAAAACTAATCTTGCTAAGAATAAATTCAAATGTTTTATGTGCACAGTAAAAGATAAGTTTTCTTTTTATTTACACTGGATCAAAGCAAATTATGTTAAGCTATTCAATCCTTGTAGAATATAATAATAAGTGAATGATCACTTTAAATTACAATTATAATAATGCTTTAAATTTTTATTTATGACAAAATTTATTTTTTTATTTTTTTATGTGTATGCCTAATCTTTTCAGAAAAAACTTTTTTAGAATTCTTATTTAAATTTTTCACAAATTATTATAATTTTTTACAAATTAAAAAATTTTTTAGAATATGTGTATATTTTTATTTATACAAAATGTCGATCATTTGCAATCGGAACACATAAGATTAAGCGTTTTATCCCAGATTTAAATCAAGCCTAATAATTTGTTAATGCGCAACGTAGCGTTAGTGAGGGTTGAGTATGATTGAGAAAATAATTGATTGCGTCCAGGTTCTTGTAACAAGTTTGTCATTACAACAAGTCGACTATCAAGAACCCGCGAACTTCTGGCTGGGTCCTAGGGCCGCAGATTTGATCCATCTTGGCGCCAAGTTTGCACCGTGTATGCGTCGTGATATCAAGATCCTAAAAGAGATCGATGTATGGCGGGAAAGAGAACGGGATACTGCTTGTTGCATTAGAAATGACGATTCCGGCTGCGTTCAATCCAGCAAAGCAGATTGTTCTGTAAGTTTCCTGGTTTTTTAAACACTTGTAACATTTCGCTAGCTCTTCACGGCCACGTATGTTCATAATATTAAAATTTTCTTCCATGCGCGCCTAACAGGTCCGGGGACTGAGATCCACTGCTATGGTAAACTACGTAATTTTTACTTTGATTCTTTAGCTTCAGAAAAAGCACTTGTGAAAAAAAGAAAAGAAAATATTTTTAATTTATTGCATTGTGAGCGTCGCAATTTTTCATTACTTGAAATTGAAAGGACCTCGCACAGATATATCTTATGGAAATGTGTGGTTCAACTAGTTGAAATTGAAGTATTGTTTTCCCAAACAAAAGTCTCAATATGATTCTCAAATTCAGTACTTTTCTGTCCAAAGACGTTTAAATGAATGCTGTTTTATGTATTGTTTTAAGTACTGTTTTATTTACCGGTCAAATATAATTTACACACGTATGGTTTACAATACAATTATATAATTTATAAGACATCGACGTATCACTATGGCTGCGTTCCACTTAACGCTTATGGAATCATTCCATCCTTATTGTTTAGCAAATGTTAAACAAAAACGATGCTCGTGAGTGTAATGTGAAACGCAGTAATTAAAAAATTACAGATTGCTATACTCATTTTTATCTCAATATAGCAATCAACGCTATCAATTTATCAAAGCATTTATTTTATGGAAAGGTTATGTGTTTGAAAAAAAGATAGAGATGTAAAATAAAGAAATGAATATATGTGAATGAATATAAATCGTTATAATAAATATGTATATATATATATATATATATATATATATATACATACATATATATGTATATATGAGTATGTACATATATATATTTATATATAGAGAGTGGGAGGGGAGAGGGAGAAGGAGAGAGAAAGAGAGAGAGAGAGAGAGAGGAGGAGGGAGTGGGAGAGATTCATATATTTAATTTATGAAAAACATATATAACCATAGGTTTTCATTTTAAAACGTTTCAAAAAAGTACTAAATTTGGTGAGCCTCCATTGTGAATTTTATTTGAACAACGTACTTCAATTTCAGCCCGTTTAACCGGAAGACATGAGATCGATGCGAATCCTTTTTTTTTTTAACAAATATAAACACGAACTTTATATATTGTATGTCAATGTTGTCTCAATTTAATGAAAGAAAAAAAATTTTGTTTTATATGTATATACATATATACATATATTATATAACACTTAAAAACTTTAAAGTGTGTTATATATATGAATATATATGTAATTTTTGCTATATATTTTATATTTGGTTAATAAGTTGCGCACATTTTGTTATTAATTTACGCACGTTTCAATCTAAAAGATTGTTATACTCAGAGAAAAATATAATGATAGCTAAATAAAGGTGACAATTATACTAGTTTTATATGTAGAATTAACGTACACATATAAGTGTGTTGCATAGACCATTTTATAATTATATTGCAATAACTATAAAATAGTTTATTTAGCTGTGTACATTATAATTTTACATATAAAAACAATTACAATTTATATTAAACCAAACTAGAATAATGCTATTCATAATTACACCTTGTACTTAAGGCTTTCTTAAATTTATCTTTAGATACTCAATAGCCAATGAAATAATTCGTAGAGCATCTGAAGATAAATTTAAGCCTTAAATATATAAAGTCTGACTATGAATACAGGCATAAATCAATTAAAAAAAAAACCCTATTTTTGATTAAAATTTAATGCTTAAGCCCGCGAGTCAGTGAACATTTTTTACATTTCATTTCAGCAAATTTGATTTATTATTATTATTTGATTATCGTCATTTTATGCTCAAAATTGCTAAAACGAAAGTCTGCCGTCAACTTTTTAGAACAGGAGCCGACGAGAGCCATTTTACTGTCAAAAAAAAAATAGTGCATTTGTGTCATAGCAAAGTTGATTTTTTATTTTCTTATTATTTATAACATAAAAAGTGATAAAATAGTAGACTGTCAGTACTGTCGGGATGATACCAATCTGCCACCTCCTCGAACATGTAAAAAAATGTGATGCTGTGTTATTTTAATTGTGTTATTTCAATAAATTGTATTTTTTTTACATGTTTGAGGAGGTGGCGTCTTGACAGCACGCTGACGGACAATAAGGAGAAAACAAAAATCAATTTTGCTGCTATAACATGAATACATCATTTTTTTTTATTATTCTGATCGGCCCCTGTCCCGCCTGCTAGCTGGCAGACTATCGCTTTAGCATTTCTAAGCATAAAAATAATGAAAAATTGATAAATCAAGTTTACTGAAATCATACGATAAAATGTTCATTGACTCTCGAATTATAGTATTTCAAAGTGAATTTATATACATATCCAATTCTGTAAACCACGCACTAAAATCTTTTTTGGTCTTGAAACGTAATCATGAACAGAACTAGAGTAATAATATTATATATTAAATTGATAAGCAGTTTAATAATTTTTTATAAACTAATAATAAGCATCTTAGAAAAATATTAATATCTAAGCATCTTAAGAGAGCTGTAAATTTAATTTATTTCAAAAAATATTAACTCAGCTGAGATTTATATCCACATTCTTTCATATTTCGTGCAGGAATTCTTACCGTTTAACCACTGAGCCTTCGGCAATATTTGCTAATTAATTTAAATGTGATGTTTTTACTCTAGTTCTTTTTATGTTTGCATTTTAAGATCGAAAAAGATTTCAATGCGCAGTTTGTGGAATTGGATATGTATATAAATTTACTATAAAATATTTAAGCACTAAGATCCGCTTTGATCAAAAATAGATTTATTTCTTTTAATTGATTTTGATATAAAACTTGCGTAATTGTCACTTTTATAATTGCTAGCACTATTATCTTTTGCTGAAATATCCACAATGATATTACAAAGTCTTAGAAATTCTCTCTTCGCTAGCAATTAAATTAATTGCAATTATGTTCGCCCTCGCAGAATACAATATCAACCTGGAAGAAGTGGGGACCTGGAGACAGTGGGCCTGGCGGTCGCATTAGTGGATCAGTTTGTGGGCTGGATCCTAAGTTTTGCGATGCCCCAGCAAGTATCGCACCTTACGAGTGGCCAGACGACATCACCAAGTGGCCAATTTGTCGGAAAACCAATCCCTTTAACCAACGTTTCAGGTGAGTTTTCTTCAATCTTCCAAGTTATTCATTCGTGAATTTTCCAAAGTACAAATGATAAAATACTTTCACACGAAACAAAACCATTTGCGGAAATAAGCTAAGCTTGTTAAAACTGTTATTTACAATGATTAAAATGGTTGCAAAAAAGAAAAATATTCAAAAATTTTTGTCAGTAAAAACGGGGGTCAACGGGGCAACGCCAATTTTCCGATCGGTCGTTACAAGGATAAGATGGCGGAGCACATGGTGTGCGAGGTAATCGGTCACCCTTGTTGTATCGGGATTCACGGGATGTGTCGGATCACCACGAAAGAGTACTGCGATTTTGTCCACGGTTACTTTCACGAGGAAGCGTCCCTGTGCTCCCAGGTGGAGTGTTTGCACGATGTCTGCGGAATGATACCGTTCCTGCATCCAGAATGGCCAGACCAGTTCTACAGACTCTTTACCACCATTTTTCTTCATGCCGGGTAATAATTGATGACAAATTGCATTTTATGAAATTTATCTTGAAGATATAAAATGCATTAATTTTATGCGTTTATTTAATCGTAAAATTTATATGCGATTGATTTCATATTAATTAATAACAAAAAAAATTTCTTTTTAGAAGTTTATTTCATTAAATTCATCCCACTAAGTAAAATCAATTTGCCATTAATTCAATTAAAAAACATTTATTTTCCTATTAAAACATAATAAAATGAACTGATTAGTCCGAATAAATTAATTTAAAAAGCAAGAACTCTTGATGTATTTATTTCAATATAAATTGATTTTTTCAGAATCGTCCATTTGATAATTACGTTGCTGATCCAATACTTCCTGATGAGAGATTTGGAAAAACTGACAGGCTCGTTGCGCATCGCTTTGATCTATTTTATTGGTGCTCTTGCTGGGAATTTAGCCAGCGCAATATTTGTCCCTTATAGGGCAGAAGTAAGTACTTAAACTATCGTAGATGAAGATGACTTGAAACAGAATGTATTTTTGTTAAATGCGGACATGATATTCGTCTACGAGTCATTAGAGAAGAAAGTTAGAAAATTACCTTCCTTATCTCTTTTCCACTTAATATATCTGAATATATCTTGATATCTGTATATTATGACGTGGACATTAAAAAGATCCTATAGTCATCGCGTTTTGTCGACTCAATAGGACTTGCACACATATGATTTACATATCATTTATATCAGGGATCCGGACCAAATTGGAATCGAAACAGAAAACCATTCCAATTCTTTTTTTAGATGAACCAAAAGTGAAACCGAAACCAAATTCCCCATGAAATTTATAATACCGAAATTATAATCAAACCGATAAAGTTATTTTCGGTTTTCTGTTTTTTTTGTTCTTTTTCCGGTTTTTAATCTGTATTCTGTTTCTCTTTTCTCCCCTTTTATCCAGGACTGTTATCCAGGACATGATCCTGAACAATATTCAAGAGATTTTAGCCGTTGATCGGACATCTTACGTAATGCTAATGCCGGCGATACTGTAATTTTCGAGGCTTATAACTCGAAAAGTACTCTATGAAAAATAACTTTATTATAATTTTTGGAAAACTCTCGACATCGGTTATTAGATTCTGAAATAAAAAATAGAGTGTTCCATATTAAAAAATCTATGTGATCTTGATCTGATCTTGGCTGCACTACCTAAAGTCAAACTGATAAGATCCTTAGTAAATAGATCCTTTTAAATTCTACAACTTCTGTCTAAATACTTTTACAATTGGACCTTATTTTGCGAAGATAAAAGGATAGTACGGGTGATCTGAAACATCCGGTATATAGGGTAGGATCAGGTATTATGAGCACTACAGGTAGTATGAGCATCCTTTATTTTTCTGTAACGATTGGTACTAGTAGTGCCAGCTATTATAAAAAGATCTGTCTTCGCGACATTTCAATATGCTGTGAAGATTTGATCTAAATTTATGTACTTCGGATATTCATCATATTAAATAAGTAAGTACGTTATTTTTTATTTCTTGCATTTTTTCTTTTAACTTCATAAGGTTCGGATATTTATCATATTAAATAAGTAAGTACGTTATTTTTTATTTCTTGCGTTTTTTTTTTAACTTCATAAGGTTCGGATATTTATCATATTAAATAAGTAAGTACTTATTTTTTATTTCTTACGTTTTTTCCTCTAACTTCATAAGATTCCCAATCTATATTGAGATAAGATATTTTGTTCTGTATGTTAATATTTGTAAACAATATTGATTTATATCTAATTTCGTAAAGCCCCGAGATCATTATTGATTTAGACACGGTACACAGTTTTTCGGATAGATATGCATGATCGGGTATTATGAACATCTTTATTATTCCTTACCGTACACAAAAAAAAGAATCTGGCGAGGGGTCAACCACTTTGGCAATCAGTGAATTTCTTCACATTTTTTTAAAAATATATTACAGTATACATATAAAACAGACAATGTAAGCAATAGCAGTACTAGAAATACGCTAGCAATATGCTAACAATACATAGTAATACATAGCAATACGTTAACAATATTTGACAATATAAAGTGTATTGTATTGTTATAATTAGCAATCATATTGCAATGTATATTAGTGTACATTTTTTTAGCAGTGGTTGACCTTAGAGGTTTGCTAATAGCTATTAAATATATGGTGAAATAATGCCAAACAAACATTTGGTTAATATAACTAAAAATAATGTTACTTTTACAAATATTTAATAAGTATTACCAAACTGTTACCATTTAGTAATACTTACTAAATATTTGTAAATGTAACATTATTTTTTGATTTCTTATAAAAAATTTCTTGTGGCTCATATTACCCCTAAGGATGCGCATATTAACTTATCCAGAGGATAATATGAGCACTGAGCGAGTAATAAGAGCATCTGATATCATTTCAACATTTGCATTAAAATAATTAATTTCAATATTAAGATATATAAAATATCAACAAATCTATCAAATGATATGCATAAAATTTTTTTATTTTTCAGTATGCTAGATATATCAAAATGTTTCCTTAAGGTGCTCATAATATCTGATCCTACCCTATATTATTTACTAATTCATTAATTAAATAATATACTATTAATACATATATATTGTATACACAATATATACATTAGGAGAAAGTGGGGTAACTATGCGCATTTTAGTTTAGAATTTTTGCGATAAATGAAGTTGCTACCACGGCGAAATTTCTCGGCTAGACGTAATTTTTTTTCAAATGTAACCATAATTATATAATTTGAAAATGTAGTTAACGGCAAAAGTGAAAAAAGGTGAAATTACATATTTTAATAATAATTTTGAACATCTAAAAAATAAGATGGTAAGTTTGTATTCTTATTTTGTTTATTTAATCGTACATATCTTACTAAAGTATATTACTGTATACGTTTGAGATATTATTCATTGAATTAAATTAAAAAGTCTTTGAGTAATCGTTTTTGTTATCAAATCAATCCGCGGTGGAAAATTGTACGCATTGACAATTCGAAGTTTCTTCTCAATGAAAACTGCACTATTTGCGAAGAATTCGAAAGATACTCTGCCCAGTCGACAAATTAAAAGTAATATAATATCAATGTTATAATTTCGTATTTCACAATATAAATTTAATAACTCATAGTGTTACATAATAACCCAAAGAACACACTAAGTCGAGAGAAAGTCAAAATGACATACTTTGATTTCAAGATGATTTTTTTGTTACAAAATTTGTTTGGTAATTTTAAGCATCAAAATAAAGTCATTTTGAAAAAATTTTGATGTCATTCTGATTTTTTTATTGATTTTTGTATGTTCCTTAGAAGTTACATTGTAGGATGCGAAATTATAATACTGATATTATGTTACTTTTAGTTTATATCGAGTGGATGGTTTCATTGCTGCCTGCGTTCTGAATGAGTCCATGAAGAATGCAATGAAGCTGAGAATTACATATTTTGATTTAAATAATTAATTTTTTCCAATTTTTATTATTTCTTCAAAGTTTATATAAATTTTATATTAACATTGGTATAATAATACATTTTTTCATTATTTTATCAATATTCCATGAAACTTTTTCCATGAAATATTTATTTTATTAACTTTATATTAATTTCTTACGATTTTTGCTTTGCGCACAATTACCGATGCGCAAAAAATTTTTTCGCTTTTTTTTTTTTTACTTTTTATGAAATACTATATTATCAAATGGAGAATGGTTTAATATGCATATCGATAGAAGAATGTTTGTAGTTTGTATTTCCGTGTTTATATTAACTTCAATTTAAAAAAATCACATCACAGCATCGAATTCCTCTTAAGTGTACACAATCCCCTGATTTTCCCATATATATATATTGTGCGCGCACACACACACACACACACACACACACACACACACACACACACACACACACACACACACACACACACACACACACACACACACACACATATCAACTAAAAGATTGCAATACTTTTCCGATTGTTTTTGGATTTATTAGATAACAATAACAATTAACAATTTATGGGCAATTTTAATATTGAGATATTGCTATAAAATCTCTCTCTCTCTCTCTCTCTCTCTCTCTCTCTCTCTCTCTCTCTCTCTTTCTCTCTATTTCTCTCTTGCCTTTCCTTTTCTCTTATTTCTTTCTATGTATGAAACATAAAAGTTTATTAAATCGATTAATGCCTATTTGTGGAAGTTTATCATTTTTTTAGATAGATGTATCAATAACGTTGTACATATGTCGTTAATATTATTCATTTTGTTTACAGGTTGGTCCAGCCGGCGCACATTTCGCTCTGCTTGCCACGTTGGTGGTCGAAGTGCTGCATTGCTGGCCAATGCTGAAGCACCCGCGTCGCACATTATCTAAGCTGATCCTGATTCTGTTGGGACTATTGACGCTGGGTATCCTGCCATGGATAGATAATTATGCGCATCTATTTGGCTTTATCTTCGGCTTTTTGGCGGCCTACGCGCTGATGCCCTTTATCTCGTTTGGCCATTACGACCGTAGACGGAAGATCTTACTGATTTGGGTCTGCATGATTCTGATTGTGGGCTTGTTCGCCTTGTTACTCGCCCTCTTTTACAACGTACCGGTGTACGAGTGTGAAGTGTGCAAACTGTTCAATTGCGTGCCGTTCACCCGTGACTTTTGCGCCTCCCAGAACATCAATTTCAAGCGAGAGGAGCCAGTATGACATACGGAGCCGCGGTTCACAGTCGAGCGTGAAATTATTCCGCTCGTCCCCCGACTTTACGCTCCTCATCGTCGCACGCATCATTACAATATTATACCATTACCATTCGCCACGCTCGTTCTGGCGACTGAAGCCATAAGGTTGATCGGAGCTGAATGAAAAAAGACTTTTTTGTTAACCACAGTTTAAAATCTTCAAAATCGTCGAAAGTCTTAATTGTACGAAGCTGCAGAAGAAGGTTCTTTAATAACAAGTCAGAAAAAATATTTGTCGAATCTTTAAGAAATATCTTCAAAAAATATGGAAATTTTTTTTATTTTTTGGAGAAATTAAACGCAGAATTGTTGAGAAAGCTAAATGTAATGAATTTTTTGGGAATTCCTGAAGAAATTGGAAGAAAGTCAATAAAAATTTTCCCTAATTCTAGCTGGAAGAAATATCAGAAAAAAGATTGTTTCTTCAGTTTTCAAGAAGAAATGAAAGAAAAAATTAATAAATGTGTTCCTTCATTGTAAAAACAAAGAAATGGAAAGAAATCTCATACGAAAAATCTTGAATTTCTAAACAAACTAAAAAAGATAGAAGGATAATTCATCTCTTCGATAAAACTAAAGGAAAAATAAACGTTTTGTTAGCCCTCGATCAATATTTAATAATCTCATCGAGTTTCGAGGATCATCAGATTTGCGTTATCCTAGTTGCAAAATTGTGGACCGCAAACTTGAAGATAATCTTATTATTTAAAAACTCTCTGCGCTTCCATGACACTATTCGAATCACCGAGCTTCTAAAATTTCACAAACTCAAGTTCTACCTTCGAAGTTCTAGAGTTTCCGAATTTTTCTAACTTTAAAAATTCCACGATCATTTTTCGATCGTTCTGCGTTATTAAGAGTGATATGATGGTGCGTTCGGGTATATGGGGGTTTGATAGTGCCTGGATCGAGCGGGTGAAGGTGATGGATCCCGACCGACATTTTCGCTACTGCCAACGAACGTTAGAGAGGAACTCGTGTTCGTCGATACGCACGACGATGCCTTAACATTATTAAGTCCCAGCGTAGTGAGTGGCTCCCGATGTGAGCTGGCTGGGGCCCAGCGGGCCTTGAGGGAGCCCAGAACTCTGAATCGCCGACGGAGTGTAAATATATACGCGGGTCTTAGATGTCCCGTGACGATGACGAATAGATGCTCCATGGATTGTTTGGAATCTCGCAGAGTTTGGCACGGTTAGCATCCATCTCCTCGAGGTGTTAACAGGATAATGGAAGAGGAGAGCCAGTTGTAAATAGGATCAAGTCTTGTTAACATTGTAAGAGCGACTTTAGTAAGCTAACTTTAGGGAGAACCTTGAAAGTGCGCACGTCTTTCGTCTCTGCACGATATAGTCCCCCGCACCTCCGACATCCGGAACTATTGTCTGTGATGGCTTGACCTTGGAAATATTTTTCGTAGCACCGCGACGGCCGTAATGACGATGGCCGCGAGCCTTCCTGCAGGAACGATCGATGAACGTTCATTATATGGATATCAATTAAATACTCGCTCGATCGTCCGAAACATTCGCGAATTTCAATTTGGCATATTTGTAAAAAAAAAAGCGAAATTAAGAAATACATACATAATTTTCTTATCAAAACATTCACAACATTTTTTCTTGTTTTATAGTATTTTTAAATTATAAAAATAACTTTAAATAATTATTGGACAGATAAATGTTTTAAATGAATGTTTTATAGTTTTTGGCACAATTATGATCCATATATCGATAAAATAAAATTTCGAAAATCAAAAGAAGTGTTTTTATTTTTATTATGTATCATATATAATTTTTTTTAACCATACATTGATAAAATAACATTTCAAAAAATCAAAAGATTTGATTAATTTTTATTATATATTAGTATTTAATGGAATTACAAAAGACGTCTTAAATACGATGAATTTTTACATCAAGTATTCGAACAATTACATGGATTTCATATTGTAAAGTATAATTTATAATTAAATTATTTAAAATAGAAATAAAGCAAAACATATGTATATATTATGAAATTATAATGTATTAAAGCATGTGACATAATATTTGCCAAATTTTTATTACGACATTTTAACTTGACGTTTAGTTTAACTGACATTATTTTTAATTACTTTCATGTAATTAATAATAATAAAATTATATTTTAATATATAAATATATATGTATATATATATATATATATATAATCTTCTATAAAATAATTTTAATAATTTAATTTAATATTATAATACAAAATTTTTAATTATCTTAATCACCATTTAATTACTGTATTTTATTTTGGCAATTCTAATTGTTTTAAAACTAATTTTAATATTATGTAGCGCAGTATTAATTATTTAATTAAAATAATAATATAATATTGATAACTAATCTTATACAATAATTTAATATCGAAATTCATATGTTTAAATACGACATTAAAAATTTCTTTTTCTAATATTCAAGATTGTAATATAAAATTTTAATTTTAAATAAAATAAATTTTACATTATATTTTGATAATGCCAAATATTACAAAATTTTAACCTACAACAAAATATGAGATGCACGCAATTTTGCAAGAAATTATTGTGAGTATTTCGGTTGGTATCCAGATGATTAATTCCTCATCGGATAGGAGGGAAGGGGAGGTCTGAGGCAGAGGAAGCGGAAGGAAAGTGTTAACGATTTAAGGCGAAACGAATCAATTTTTTATAACGGCGTGAAAGAGAACGAGAGATAGGGAGGCACGAATATTAGAATTCTTGATCAATTTCGAAGTCTGTATATATATTTGCGACGACAGCGTAAGAGAATGTGAGAGAATAGAAGAGAGGCAGTGTGAAAGAGACAGATATGCGAGACATTTGCGCGAAATAATTTGACGATTTTGTTCTGGGGATTGAAACTGTATTATTCCGGTGTTACCATTACGTGAAAATGGAATGCTTTTTCTCCATATCTATGTGTAACAGCGGAAAATCATACAAGTTTCAATTTCTATTTTACTCTACTTATCGCACATGTATGTATACTACCCTTGAAAAATTTCTGAACATGATAACGAAATTTTTGAAGCTTTAAACTTACTGCAGCACTAATTGTGAAAAAGACAGATATGCAAAATCAAAGATTGTATCATACTGCAGAACAAATACAGCTGTAATTAGTAAATCATTGTTTTTAAAATATAATGCTTATTTATTTAAATATACTTAAAATAATGAGAAATGGCAATATGCGGAAAAATTTCGGGGGTAGTGTATATATACGCGCATATATATATATTCTATTTTATTATATAAATTGTCTTACAATTAATTTCGCACAAATTTTTGAAATTATGCTTAAATACGATTATGTCGATTTGAACAAAAGTGCAAAAGCGCTTGTTTTATTATTCGGTTTAAACGATCGGTTTAACGACAAAAGAATTTCGAGGAAATATATTGAATAGGAAAGTGCTAAAATTCAATAGATACAAAAAAATTTGCGATTGAGATTATTAGAGACAAAAATTTTTTCACACACATGTTTATCTTCTTCCACATATAATATTTCTATATATATACATATATATGCTAATTATTATTAATTTGTTCTTTTAATCTCATAATTCTTATACTTTTTTTTTACAAAGTAGTTGAAAGGACTGTGCAACGTCCACGGTGACGCTTTGCCAAATTTTGCATTTCGCCGGGTTATACATTATACACTAACATATAACACGTATATGTGCGAGTTGCAACCATGACTGTAAAAACGTCATTTTCAAGCATCATCATACCGATTACTATGATTGTCATTGCTATTGCTCCAGCATTTAATCCAAATTATACATTTGGAAACTTTGTGATATGCGATGATCGAGTGAAGAAAGAATGAAGAGAATGAATAGAAGAGAATGAAACAGAAAGGAAGTTGGTGTGTGTGTGTGTATTTTGTGTGTGTGTGTTTGTGTGTGTGTGTGAGTGTGTGTGTGGCGTATATGTGCGCGTGCGTGTGTGTGAGGTGATCGATAGCCCTATTAAACTTTTTTTCGGATTATATATATAAATATTATAAATATAAACGTATACATACGCGAGTTAAGGTGGATCGTCATTGACGAGCAACGTATTGTTATTATTGTAAATGTGTTATATACAGATAATAGCATGCAACAGACATATACACATACACACATACATACACGTACGATGTACACAAAATGCATATAAACGATCATATACATATACACGTATACACATGATGGAGATAAATAAATTGAGAACTTTCGATAATTCCATACCGATCACGGCGAGGTGGAATGTCTCGCCTTCCCTCGCGGAGGCAAGAGAAGAAGACAGTGAGAAAGAGGGAAAAAGAGGGTAGTTTCATTCCGATTGTGGTTGTTGTTGCCAAAAATCACGGGCAAATTGCGCGTTCAAATAAACCTTTTAATTTTATGTATCATATGTTTGCACATGGCAAAAGTTTTGAATTTATTGTACACAATTTAAGAGTTGCGCAATGTCTCTATCAATTATAGAAATCAAATAGAGAGTTTATAATAATCCAATAAATCAACACAGAATCTTATAATTTTTGAATTATAAGCAAGTAAGGAGGGGATAGAATTTCAAAGAATTACTCTTTGAATAGAACTATGTTCTCGAACTTTCTTTTAATTTAATTGGCATAACAGTTTCCAAGATATCGAAAGTTTGAAAAGATTATTACAATGACAGTGCCAATGAAAGTTTGGCACTTTATAAATAATAATAGATAATATTTTATTTATTCGAAAGAGACATTGTAAATGTTTTTAGTAATTTAAAAATTTTTAAACCAGAAAATTTTTGGAGACAGATTTGTTTTACGAACTTGTATGTATTCTTTTTATTTAGTTATCTAACTCTTTGTTTTTCTTTATGCTTGTCTAAAACTTACAAATTACGAGTAATATTATATATCTAATTATTAAGAATTTATTTATTATTCTTTACCATCAACTATTTTTCATTACGAGACATATTTTTACATCTTTTATATATATATTTTTTTTTTAATTTTATTTATAAATTTTTGTATTTATATTTTATATTTTACAAAAGGATAAAG